TTCTGGAGTCAAAGAGGCCTTCAGGATTTTCTAGGGACGTTCACTGTTTATAGACAAATCATCCCAGACCAGCTCCCTTGGTGGCTTTACCTGTGCCCACGTGTGGATGTGTGTGTGGATGTGTGTGTGAACGTGTGTGTACACATGTGCGCATATGTTTCAAGATGCAAGTCCCAGGGAAAACAGACGGTTTCTTTTGGTGGTCTCATAACACTGTGTTTGTTGGCACCAGGCAGTTGGAAGAGGTTGTTAATTCTCTGGGGAGGTTTTAGGGAAGATCTGTTAGAGATCTGCAAAATTGAATGCTAAGCCGCGTGTGCGTCTGTACACATGTATGTTTTCGTGTCTTGCTTTGTTGTTGGTTGAGGCTACAAGCGCAGACCATGGGGATGCAAAGGATGGAGCAGAAAGCTGAAATCGGGGCCTGCGGATGGTTTGCAGATGTCAGTTCTGAATTGCACCGTGACGGGGGTACCCCGAGGGAGAGAAGATGAGCAGAGGGAGAGGAGAGAATCCAGAGGATCCAGCTGGTGGAGTAGAGCTCCCATTTCTCAGCTGGAAAACTTAACATCACTCACTGCGGGTTCTGGAATGATTCTGGTGGAATGCAGCAGCTGTTGGGGTTTGTGTAGGTGCCCCAGCCTGGGCCCCTCGTCAAGTATAAATTTGTGGAAGAAGCTGCCGTAGCCCAATGGGGGAGGACTTGGATTTCCTTTTTTCCTCATTCTTGCTATAGATGGGGTAGTTATTTTAAGTAAGTGATGTGCTGCAGTGAAAATGGGCAACTCTTTTTCATTTTTCAGCTTAATGAAAAAAAAAGAAAAGGGAGGAGGAGAAACCCCACTAGCCAGCTCCGTGCTAATGCTTGTCTTTTTTGGATTCTAAATGCGTCCCCAGATACTGAGATGGGATAAATATTTCAGCCACTAGAAAGTCCTGAGTCGGCCTGAAAAGATTTCTAGCCTCTTTTAAAGCGGACAGGGTAGAGATTTACTGGTGTAAGTCTAGACATGCCCATGTCTCCTGTTTTAACTATCTGTGTACAGATCCCACTCGCATACTGGGGAAATGGTGCAAGGGGGGCGTGGACATTTGCAAGGAAGAGTGTGGGAGATGGGGAAGGAGGTAGTGATACCATGCTTGGTTTTCTTAGGGTGGTTACAGATATTCAGTGGCGTCCTGTACAGTGGCACTGCCTGGGCTGAGGGGCTGAGTGATGTGGTGCCTCTCTGCCTACAGGGGGCGTTTGTCTGGTTGAGGGGGTTAGTGGAAATGCACCCACAAGGTTGGGAGAACTCAGAACAAGACCAGAGGGCAAAGCAGGGGGCCAGCTTCATTTTGTGGAATCTCTTGACTTGTGACTTCGGCTGAGGTCTGAGGGTGAACAGGTTGGATTGGGCTGCAGGGGCTGCCATGATACAGAGGAGCTTAAACAACAGGAGTTCATTGACTCTCGGTTCTGGAGGCTGGAAGCCTGAGGTCAAGGGGCTGGCAGCAGGGTGGGTTTCTTCTGAGGCCTCCCTCCTTGGCTGGCCCTCTTCTCCCTGTGCCCTCACGGATTCTCTCTGTGCCTGTTCCTGTCCTAATCGCTTCCCATAAGGATGCTGGTCATATTGAGTTAGGATCCACTTTAATGACCTCATTTTAGTTCTATTACCTGTTTAAAGACCCTGCCTTTAAATACAGTTACCCTGGGGTATTAGGGTTTAGGACTTCAATATATACATTTTGGGGGACAAAATTTAGCCCCTAATACCAGGCAAAAGGGGGACCGAAGTGTCTCGGGGGTCAGCAGCCAGCACATAGGAGGCCTCTCAGCAGAGAAGACGTTGGTGTGATCGAGGGAAGGGTTCGAAAGGAAGGTCCAGGAGTGGGCAGGGGTGGCGTCTTGCTGGGCTTTGTAAACCTGGCAGGAATTTCGGATTCATCCTAAAGCCAGAGAAATCACCAGCTGCATTTAAAACCTCACTCTGTGTGAAGAGAAGGAACTGAAGGGCATGAGAAGTGGCATTTGGCAGATCGGCTTAAACCAGGGTTTCTCTGCCTCGGCATGATTGGCATTTCTGGCTGGAGATTCTGCTGTGGGGAGCTGCCCTGGGCACCCCAGGTGGCTTAGCAACACTCCTGGTCTTTACCTGCTGAATGCTAACTGCCCCCATTCCTAGTCCTGACAACCCCAAACCATCTTCAGACACTGACATTTGTTCCCTGGGGGGTCACAATTGTCCCTTATCTGGAACCACTGGTTGAAACGGGTCAAGAGACGGTAATGGCTTACTTTGGGCGGTGCCAGTTCCGTGAGCAGATTGGGTGGGTTTGAGGAAGCTTTTGAAGAATCAGCAGGGGTTGACGTCTTTTTTCCTTGATTTCCCCTTATGTCAAACTTGAGGCTGTCACTTCTCTAAAGCACCGGCTGTGTGTCCCCATGCATGGAGCTGCCCAGAAGAGCACAGAGATGTGGGCTCTCTCTTACCTTCACCAGGCCTGGGAGCCTGTGGCTGGCAGGGCCACCTGTGGATAATGGATGTGGTATTTAGTCTCTGCATCCACCCATTCATTTGTCAAGTCCATGTGCTGCCAGATTTATTGACTCGTATTGCCAGCACCGTGGAATCTAATCTGGCCAATTTTCTGGTTCCGGAAATCTGTTTATCAGAACAAGATTTCACAGTTGTCGTGACTTTTCCAGGGAGGGGGCTTGCCTTCGAGGAGGGGTGAGTGCTACAAAAGCAAGTTTAAGTGAATTCCAAACAAAACAGAAAGACGGTTCTGCATTCCGGAGCTCCGCAGAGCGCTCTGCTTGCTGTGAAGCCTGGAGCAGGAGTTAGGAAACAGCTGGATGTATGGCATTTCTGGTTTGAGCCTGTGGTGTTGGGCAGGGATCCAGCAGCTGGATGCCCCTCTAGTTTCCTCCCCATCACACCCCCTGAGAGTGACCTGCTTTCCTGCTCTTCTTGGGGTTGATGATGAGTTTCTGGAGTTGTTTTCAGAGGGACTCTAATGTTGAGCCTGGGCTCGATGGGACAGGGTGTGGGGATTGATTAGTGATGTCTGATTGGGTGGTAGAATAAGAGAAATAGTAGCACAAATACATTGGCAATTCCCAACAGAGCTGTGTGAATTTTTTATTCCAGACCCTTCTGTGCCCTGGGCTGACCCTTCCCACACTGTGTCTTTGCTGCTGCTTTTCTCTAGGCCTAAAGAGCTCTTATTTTTAATGTCTGTGTACCCATTAGCAGCCACCATAAATGTCATCTCTTTGCTGGAATCTTTTTTGATTCCCTTGAATTTTGACTAAGGAAACTGGGGAGTCATTCAGTGGCTTTTATGGTAACGAAGTGACATGTTCCATTTGCTGTGTAGAAAGATCTTTCTGGACACAGGAAGGTGACTGGATTGGAGAGAGGCGAGATAGGAGGCAGGAGACCCGAGGTTGAGGTAGGCAGAAATCCCAGGAAGAGAAGGTGGCTGCTTGGGCTGGAGTGGCCGCTATGGCGACGGCAGCTCTGTGATGGGGCAAAGCGGTGAGGAAGGGACAAATGAGATTTCTGGGTTCTGATGTGGGTCGTTGGGCAGAGCGGAGCCCCCGCCCTAGCCTCTCTTCTGGAGCTCTCCGTAGGGAGACGGGATGTGCAGTATTGGCTCTGTGTGGCAGATGGTCTCTGAGGGAATGTCCAGCCCTCGAGCCAGAGCTGACATGGTGCTGCCAGCCCGTGGTGGTGTCCTTTCCAGTTGGTCATGTCTGCTTGTTCCTGTTATAAAATATTCTTAGTCTCACCCCACAAGCAGCATCAGCAGGCGACCGGGGAAGCGCTTATCCGTGGTTGGAGAAGCCAGGGACACTTCAGGAGGAAGGTTGCCCAGGAGGTGCCTGCTGAAGGGTGTGAGGGGACTTAGCAGGAGACCCAGTGGGCAGGGGGCATTCCAGGTAAGACCCCAGAGCCTAGAAAGGTAGAGGCCTTTACAGGAGTAAAACCCTTTGTGTGCCTCTCTGCCTGTCCAGCTGACGAGAGGATCCCAGCCTGGCGCCTTTGTCTTGGGGACATAGCCCACGTCCTGGCCAGTGTGTCCAGCTTACTGAATGACTCAGGAGGGAGCCCTGGAGCTTCAGGAGAGCTGAGGGAATGGCCATTTTTTTCCCTCCTTTCTCCCCAAGACTGTCTCACTTCCAGATGGCTCCTTATCCGTCCGTCATTGATCACACCTGCTCAGACTGATCCGACCCATCGGATCCTGGCCCCCAGAGTTATCCTGTCAGATGAGGGTTCAGTGTCAGATGAGGTCCAGGCCCCACTGCCATGGAAACACCCTCTCTGTTTGTTTTCTTGCCTGAGGGTGGTGTCGGGTGGAGGCCTTGGCACGCTATGACTCTATTCAGTGGCGTTGAACCTGAACTCTGGGGCTCGGTTCTGAATCTCCGGTAACTCTTGGCAGCCGGTGTAGCGACCTGCGTAGCCTCTTGGGGGGTTAGAAGGCCTGAGTTCAAGTTCCACCTTGGCCTGTCCTCCCCATTAGACCTCAGGCAGGTTGGGGTGCAGATCTGAGCATCTTGTTTCCTAGAGTGAAGCCGTGCCTTGGTATTCCTGCCAGCTTGGCCCAAGTTCAAGGGCTCTGCGCCTGGAAGGATCGTGCACTTCCTGCCCTTGGAGATTCGGGGAGTCCAGTGCACTCCTATCTGGGACTTTAATTGTCGCCGCTGCTGCTGGCTAGGAAAGAACATTCGGGTTTCCAACCAATCTTTTGGATGTTTAGAAAGAAAGAAGTCAGGAAGCACTGATTTTGTGGCCAGACACCCAAATGCTTTCCCCAGATTTTTCCATGTAACCCTTCCAAGGTCCTCGGCGGTGAGCTGGGGGCAGATCACAGGCAAGGAAACCGAGGCCCGGGGGGCAAAGACATCTCCTGGAGGCCTCACCTGGGCAGTTTCAGCTGGGAGGGGGCTCAGGCCCTTGCTGCTATGGCTGCTGTGCCCTCTGACCCCTGTCCCCTCTCTCCCACAGAGAGCCAGCTGCTTCCCGGGAACAACTTCACCAACGAGTGCAACATTCCAGGCAACTTCATGTGCGGCAACGGGCGGTGCATCCCGGGCGCCTGGCAGTGCGACGGGCTGCCCGACTGCTTCGACAAGAGTGACGAGAAGGAGTGCCGTGAGTGGCCCTGCCCTTGGCTGTGGGTGGGGGTGGGGTGGGTGAACTCTGAGGCCTGCGGGGGAGGAGCCCCTGATCCGGCTTCCACCCTGCACCCTGTTTGCTGCAGCCTGGTGGGGTCAGGGCTCTGGCTGGTTGTCCTGCCCTGCCCTGTGTGTCCCTGTGTCTCAGAGCAGCATGGTTTGTGCAGAAACAGGGATCTTGGTGGTGGTGGAGCCTCGACTCGGGGGAGCAGAGGAGGCTCTGAATGAGGAGGTGGGGCCCCAACTCTGCTGTCCCCTTCACTTTACGTGCCAGCCCTCTGAGAATCCTGGGGTTCATGTAGCTTCTGGGTCTCAGAGCTGGAAGTTGCAGCTCAGGCCTCAGAGCCAGGGCTTTCCATGCTGCCACCTCCCTGGCCACAGGACGTGGTACAGTTTTCTTGACAAGTCCAGGTGGTGTGACATCATGCAGTGTCCAGCATGGAGTGGGTACTGACTCGGGAGTCATTTGCCCCCTCGTCCCTTCTCTCTGCCGATGGGTATATATCCTGGGCCTTCACAGGGGCATCACCTTCCAATGGGCACCGCCAGGCTCTGGTGGTCCTTGTGACCCTCCTGGCCCCCCCTCCTAATCCAGCCTCTTCCTTACCTTGTGCTCCTGGAACGTGTGTGATTTGAGTCGGGATAATCTATAAGAAAAGAGGCAGGTGGCACGGGGGTCTGGCTTTAGAGGCTCAGGGTGTCAGTGGTCATGCTCTGTGCCCAACAGGATTGTTGGAGGGGGACGCCCTGGGACTGCCAAGTGGACAGTGGTTCTTGGCTCTTTTCCTGGGCTTCAGGAACCAGACCATGTGGCCTCTGACAGGAGAACTGCGTGTTCTGGTTCTGAACTTGCCGTCTGTCTGGAAGCCAGCTGAGGAAGTGGCCAAGGACAGAATAATAAAGTGAACTTTTAGCGTCGCTGTTCCTGGGACTTGAGGCCCTGTCTGACTCAAAGGAAGAGCCCTGGGTTTGGAGGCCACCCCTGGGAGCCTAGGGCTGTGCTTGGGATGTGCCTGGAGACTGGATCCTCCCCTGGCAAAGGGGCCTGGTGTCCCCCATGCCTGCTCCTGTTCTTCAGAGAAGTTTTAGAGAGGAAAAACCGGGCCAGTGTTTTGGGGGAGAATATTTCACTTTGTTGATTGCTTGTGATTTTTTTCTGAATGAATCGCAGGACCTAATATATATATATATATATATTTTTCCCCACCGTTGCTTTTGAAAAGTATTATCTCTGTTTCAATGTTTTCCCATAACTAGCATGGCTTCAAAACTGCGAGAAATGTAACATTTGGTAATTGGGTTTCGAGTCAGACTGAGTGTGTGAGCTCTATCTTCGCCTAGTTTTAAGGATTGTTAAACCTGATGTAAGTATGTGGAATTGCCACTTTGGGGGTAGGGAGTGTTTTGAACTCCAGTGAATGCAGATTGGCACTTGCTAGCTGGGCATATCTGTCCCACAAGGGGTTTGTGAAGAGATGCAAAATGAGGAATCAGACTTAAGTTTCATTCCCAGCTTTGTCCATAGCAGCTGTGTGATATTGGTAACTTCTAGGATATTCTGTGCCTTCTGTGGGTACAGTCCCATGATGTTAGTATTCATACTCAAGCCGGATGAGGAGGTGGACAGAGCATGTTTTTTTAAAAAAAAAACAAATATAAAAGACAGTTGCAGTCGCTGCTTGGAGCTGCCTGGTTTGGTTTGGAACAGACTCACTTGTGGCCACCCTCCATCCCTCCCTTCGCCCCCAAGTCTGCTGAAGACTTGACTGGCATTTATTTAGTCTTTTGATCAAAACATAATTTAAAAAACCATACACACAAACACACACACCAACCTCTCTTCTGTTGCCCTTCTCCCTCCCTCACTTCTCTTTTGCTTTAAATTGCAAAAACAGAACATTAGAAAGTTTAGACAATAAAGGAGAGGGGGAAATGTCCCTTTTCTCACAGAAATTTAGCTTTCATTTTAATTTTCTTACATATTCCTTTCCAGTCTAGGTGTTGAGAGCGGAAGCTTCGGAGAAAGATAATCGATGTCCAAATTCTAGCCCCTTCTCTCTCCTTAGGGGGCCATGTGTGATCTTGCAACAGTTTCCAGAATGTTCCAAACCTTAGCCATTGGGAGGAATACAGAAAATTCTTTACCCTCCTAGAGCCTCCATTTCCTGCTGTCCAAAGGAGAGGCCAACAGACTTGTAATACTTACCCTTCTGGGAAACTTTCCCCTGCGCTAAGGCACCCAGGGTAGTGCCTGCTGCAGTAAGTGGCCCATAAACGCTAACTGTTATTGGTCAGTCTGCACACACTGTTATATGGTTGTCATTATGGGGACCTATGGTGGAATCACCTGCTTTTATCTACTTAACCTCGGAGGCCCGTGGCCACATCACCGTATTTCATATTCAGTTGTTGTTTTGTGCAGTTGGTTCAAGTTCCATGGCGGAGATGTACTGAGACTTAATGGTCCCCTTCTTGTTGAAATCTCTTTTGCTTTTTTGCTTCTACTGATCAAAATATTTAGAATCATTTAAAGAATTGATCCGTAATCCAGATGACAGAGATACAGGGTAGCTCCAGGCTGAGCCCCCGTGGCAGGGCCGGGATCTGCAGGAGGACCAGCTTCCCCACCTCCTGAAGGACGCCCTGGTGCAGAATTGTCACCGTCTTCCTCCAGGGAGGGAGTTGGCCCCGGGCCTTCTTGAGGTGTCACGAAGCCCTTTCTCTAGTTGTTTAGAATGACTAGGGAGGGGAGCGAAGGGGGCCATGTTCTCACTTTGGGGGCTGATGGCCTCAAGTTTGGAACTGAGAAAATTACACACTTAAAAGGAGAGAGAGAGAGAGAGAGAGAGAATGGTGGGGAAGAAGTTGGAGAGGGGTCTCATGGTGGGGTGCGAGCCAGCAAGCCGCTATTTTGTATCCACAACCAGGGCAAAGATTTCCAGAGGACAGGAAGAAAGTTTATCCTAAAGGTAATAAAATCACATATTCTAAAACCTGAGAGGAAGGAAGGATGAGAACAAAGAAATCACACCTGGAGTCGGCTCTCCTGGCGGATCCACTCTCAGAACCCTGCAAGCTTCCAGCCAGGCTCTCCCCAGCTGTGATCTCCATGGATATTCAGTCTCACACTTGTGTTCTCCCATGTGACATTTCAGCATGTTAACATTTTTTTTCTGGGTTTTTCATGTTTCTCTTAATCATTTTAAAATGCCTAATTTTCATTAATTTGATATGATATAGCTTATCTCTTATTCTTATATTCTCATTTATTATACAGCGTGTGTGTGTGTGTGTGTGTGTGTGTGTGTGTGTGCGCGCATGCGCACAGTGTTGGGATGGAACCCAGGGCCTATGCTCACACCTAGGCAAGAGCTCTCCCACGGAGCCCACACCCCAGCCCTCAAATTAGCCCCATGCTGTCGTCCACTGTTGGAAATGGTGCTCACTGTGAGCATGAGGCTGGCCGTGCCTTTTCCCCTGTTTGAGAAACTGCTGTGGGCTGGATTCTCAGAAGTGACATCGCTGGGCTGAAGGGTGGTGCCCCTCTCTGGCTCGCACACAGACGGGCCCCTTGTTTTGCTGAAGCTCAGCACCAGCCTGCTCTCCCTGGCAAGGCATGAAAACTGGGACTTTATTTTAGTCTTGGCAGCATTAAATAATCTCTTTAAAAAACATTTTTTTCTGGTTAATTTAATAGCTGAAAACAGTTCATATATTTTAATTTTTTTTTTTAACTAACGAGGTTGAATGTTTTCCCATACCTCTATTTACTAGCTGTATTTCCTTGTAAAATGTCTATTAATGGACTAAAATGAATGTCCATCTGGGTTAGCATTTTAGATTTTCTACCTGTGCTTCTGGAGAACCCCTCTCAGAGTATTGAGAAGAGGCTCATTTGGACACACTTTGGGTGTATTTCTGCTCTTGGTTAGTGGATTGCCCTAAGTGATCATTTTATTCAAATCTTTTGTTTTTCTTGTCTTCTCTTGTAATGAAAGGAGTAGGGGTACATTTTAGGAAAACACGGAGGTTCCGTGAAAACACACTGGCCCTAGGGTGCGATGGTGTGTTCTTGTTGGAGCCTCCTCTGGGCCACACTGTCCCAGGAACTGGGTGTTTTAATGAAATCATTAGATGGTCACAGAAGCCTTATTGGGAAGGAACTGTTGTAGTCTCCAGATGAGAAAAACCCAGACACCGAGTGCTTTGTTACCCAAAGCTTACCTGGCTTACCTGTTGGCCTGGAAAATAAGTCAGTGTACCCTTCCCTCCATCAGAGACCCACAGGTGCATTTTGTCTTGTGTACAGACATCTGTTACCTGCTGAATAGGATCATGTGGGTTGAATGGCATCATGGCAGGATTGTGACTGCCAGTCAGCTTTCCATTACTATAAGGAACACCTGAGACCATCAACTTATAAAGATAAAAGGGTTACTTTGGGTCACAGATTTGGAGGTTCAGTCTATGATCTACTGGGTCTGTTGCTTGGGGCCTGGGGCAAGGAAGCACATCATAGCAGAAGTGCATAGTGTAGCAAAATTGCTTACCTTGTAGTTGGAAAGCAAAAATAAAAAAGAGAAGGAAGAAGCCAGGTCCAGCTCCTCAGGAGTCCAAGGCCAGCCTTGCCAACTGAGTAAGACTTTGTCTCAAAATGAAAAATATCTGGGTTCAGTCCTCAGAGACCCTTCCGAGAAAGGGAAAAGCTTGGGGTCCCAATTCCCCTTCTAGAACATACCACTTTAGACCCCTTAGGAGCCCCCGTGTCTTTTTGTTTGTTTTGCTGGATCCAGGAGCCCTGTGTCTGGCAGGCAAGTGCTCTACAACTGAGCTCCATCCCCAGCCCCAAGCCTCCTAACTTAAAGGTCCCATCCCCTTCTAGTCGTGCCACTCTGGGGGATCCGATCTTTCACACACAGGCCTTTAGGGACATTGAAGGTCCAAACTATAGCAATGACCAACCTACTTTTAAACAAA